CAAAAGAGCTTATTAGCTCATCAAGGATGTCCCTTCCAGTCTCAACTATAACCATCCCTTACTACTCATGTATTCATACAATATTTTCTTGAACTCAGTTTAATTTTCTGCCTCCACCACCCTTGAAGGCAGATCATTCCAATAGCCAACTACCCTATTTGAAAAGTAATATTGTATAAACTGCAGACAACTCCTACGCTGCCAAAATTTGAACTTATGCCCCCTTGTTGTATTGTTTTCACTGCTAAGCACAAAAAAGTTTGATAGATCTATATTATCAATACCTTTACTAATCTTAAACACCTTAATCAAATCCCTGTGACCCTTCTCCTCTCCATAGAAAACAAGTTTAAAGATTGTAGCCTCTTCTCACAGGTCAATCCCACCATCCCAGGTATCATCCTAGTGGCTCTCCTCTGAACCTTCTCCAACAATTCAATGTCCTTCTTGAGGAAGGGAGCCCAAAACTGTTCACAGTACTCTAAATGAAGTCTTACAAGTGATCTATACAGTGAAACAATAATATCCCTTGTCTTGTATTCAATATTTCTATAGATGCTATCTAAAATCCTATTAGCCCTACTGCTTGTTACAATATAATGTTTAGGTGATTTAAGTGATTTTTTTATCACAACACCAAGAAAATTTTCTTCAACCACAGTATTTAATGTATTCCCATTTAAATTGTAACAATAATTTTAATTGTGAAAACCTATCTGCATCACCTTACATCATCTACCATGTATTAGCTCAATGTATCAAATGATCTAAATCTCCCTGTAAGTCTACAGCATCTTTGATATAGTTAGCCACCCCAAAAAGCTTAATGGCATCTACAAACTTCAAAATTTTGTTAGTCATTCCAGAATCAATATCATTAATATAAATCACAAACAGCAGAGGACCCAGCACAGAGCCCTGATGCACACTGGTTGTAACTGTGATCCAGTCAGATCTAACTCCATTTATTACTACTCTATGTTTTCTACTCTTCAGCTAATAATTTTCTATCTAATATAATATCATTTCCCCCTCACCCATAGATTTAATTTTTGTAACAAGTCTTTTGTGAGGCACCTTATCAAATGCTTTCTGAAAATCAAGGTAAACCAAATCCACAGTATTTCCTTCATCAACTCTTGCAGTAACATCCTCAAAGAATGTCAGAAATCTGTTAAACAAGACTTTCACTTAGTGAAACCCTGCTGGCTCATTGACACTATATCAAACTGCTATATGTGACTCTACAATGCATATTTAATCACACTCTCCAAAACCTTTCCAACTACTGATGTAAGACTAACTGACCTATAATGGCCTGGGCAATGTTTATCACCACCTTTAAATATTGGACTAACATTAGCCAACTTCCAGTCTTCTAATACTTTTTCACTACTCGATGACCTATAAAAAATATTAGCTAGCAGTTCACAAATAAAATCTTTATGTTCCTTTAAAACTCTAGGATAAAAGTTGTTTGGTCCAGGGGATTTATTAATTTTTGAGATTTCTCAATATTTTTTTCCATACATTAAATCCTGTGGTTGAAGCATAATACATAATCCTTCGTAAAACTGAAGAGAACATATAATTTAATAAGTTTACCATCTCATAATCTTCCAAGATCAGCTCCCTACTATAATTTTTAAGAGGCCAAATCCCCATCCTAACATTTTGCTTACCCAACATATACCTAAAGAATTCCTTATTGTTTAATATAACTCCTTCAGCCAACCCTCTTTCATATACAGTTTTTGCCCTTTTAACTTCCTTTTTAACCAGCTCTATTGATTTCATAAAGTCCTCCAAACCCTTATTATTTCCAGTAATTTTTAATTTCTTGAATTTATTATGTTTATCCCTAATATGATCTCTTAAACCTTTACTAAACCATACTGGCTTATTCTGCTTCATTACCCTTTTTTTCTGTAGAGAATATGTATGTTCTGTATGCATATCAATATTTCCCTAAGTGCTTCCCACATCTGTTCAAGATCCCCTCCTAACTCTTTAGCCCAATCTACAAAAGCCAGATCATGTCTCATTCCATCAAAATTGGCTTTCCTGAGATTTGGAATTAGGGTACTATTCTTCTTCAATTCTACATGTAGTAAAATCCCACACTTAATAGTGCAGTGGTCACTTGTACTTAAATGCTCACCAACCACAACTCTGTCTATTACATTTATAACAGCTCTGTTTTTAGGTACTAGTGAAACTATGATGAACATTTCAATTGTAGTTATATTTGTTTATCTATTTAAGCAAAATGGTAACATGGCAAAATCTATTTGTTTTTTAATTTGTCATAATAAATGGCATTTATTTTTGTGTGATTTTAGAAAAACGTGTGTTCATCTTAGGCCCATCTCATCATGTACGAATTGGTGGTTGTGCTCTTTCTCCAGCAAAGATCTACAGAACTCCTCTCTATGATCTTTCCATTAACCAACAAGGTATGTTTATAGGATTCACATACATTTTTTGTACTTTCCTAAAAAAAAGGGGAGGGGGATTCTAACCGGTAATGATTTCTTTCCGTATACCATTTTTATGAAAAACACAAAATCATGTGATACATAGTTTTTGAACAAATAAATATTTATAAAAGAATTACTAGCCCAAGAAAAAAAAAGTATATTTACTGTAAGAAGAAAAAAAATTAGGAAATAAATATAAATTATGCCTTTTTTGTTCTAAAATGACTACAAATTATAATGCAAAACCACAAATGTTTAGACTAAATAGCTTAAATCTCCTAATGTTATACACATATATTTATGTATCTATATGTTCATTATTTCTATTATATTGACCTTTCAGCCGTGCCTGGCTAACAGTACAGAAGTTACAATGACGTGGTGAACATGTACTCATATTACTGTATCCAGTAATATAAGACTGACCTTTACTCTTTACAAAGTGACCTGTCTTGGCTGTGTTTAGTGGACTAGTATTTTGTAAAATACAGTCACATTTCAATTATTGTACATTATATATGTATATACATTATTACTATTTACAAATAAGTTCTTAAAATTATTTTTCTTAAAACATAAAACAGTAAATAAAGAAGTAAAGCAAATAATTATCTCTTCTAGTTACGACCTTGGAACTCGTTTGCTGCTTGTCGTAGGTTGCTAAGACTTATAAAATTTACCATGTGGAGGATGTGAAATTCTTTTTTATAGGTTTTATATATACATTTCAAATAACCAAAAATCATAAATTCCTATATCGATACCATAGAATTCCACTATAATTTATCAAGCTTAGTAACTAAGCTCTATTTGGATCTAAAAAAATGTGAAATTTTGAGCAGACTAAAGACTCAACTTACCATCTTGAAGTTTTGTATTGAAAGGACAAGATGGCATTGTAATACTGAAAAATGGCTGAGAAAACCAGAAGAGGGACATTCTGAGCTTTTGATTGGTTATTCACATGTCATAGACAGAAGTAAGTGTATATACGGGAGCATTTCCAAAAATGGAAAGAGTTTAGCGGGGTCACTGTGTTTGATTCAGTACATGAGCGATATCTCATCAAACAGAAAAGATAGGAGTTTCTTATTTTATATTCTAGCTTTTCAATATTGGTAATTTGAGTTCCTAATTCATACGAAACTATAGACTTTGTATTTTGACATCACAAACATCTAATTTGAACTAGTGCTGCATTCATCATACCACGTGACACACAAAAATCGATGTTTAGGTTTATTTTTTAATATTTATTTTTAAATTAAGAAATTAAATGTATAATACTAAAATCTGAATTATAATCTACAGTTTGATACCAAACTTATTGACATAAATTCCTAAAATAGTAAATCAATAAAATGCGACTACATAGCCTTTGACCTGTTTGGAAAGGGTTAATGGATCGTGAAGTGTAATGGAAAGTATAAAGTTATATCAGTGTTAAAACTTTTATCTATATTTAGCAGTGATTTGAATGTTTCTTTTTGATGATTACTACTTGATTACAGTTTATGATGAGCTCTACAATACTGGTCTCTTTGAAGAAATGTCCACTCTCACTGATGAAGATGAACATAGCATCGAGATGCAACTTCCTTACATAGCAAAAATAATGGAAAAGTAAGGTTTAAGTTATTTATTCCTTTTGCTTCCAAGATTGCCAGTAATTATAAATAGTGATTCAAAAATGCTACTCACCACTTCACAGAACTGTTAGTTATTACTTTGTGCCAAAACTAAAAATATTTTGGAACATTCACCAATCCGGCCCGGCATGGCCAGGTGGTTAGGGAGCTTGACTCGCAATCTGCGGGTCGGGGGTTCGAATCCCCATCACACTAAACATGCTCGCCCCTTTCAGCTGTTGGGGCGTTATAATGTGATGGTCAATCCCACTATTTGTTGGTAAAAGAGTAGCCCAAGAGATGGCGGTGGGTGGTATGACTAGCTGCCTTCCCTCTAGTCTTACACTGCTAAATTAGGGACGGCTGGCGCAGATAGCCCTCGTGTAGCTTTGTATGAAATTCAAAACAAACAAACAAACAATTCACCAATCCTTCAAAAATATTCCCAACCTCTGAAGTATTAACACATACTGCACTAATCTATGATACAATCAGTATTAGACTATAGCCCTCCACCAATAGAAGAGTGATACATCTTCCATGCATAGTAGACCCTATGGGCACTTTGTTATTAACAAAGCTTCATTCTTTTTTTGGTATTGCTTGCAATTCAAATGTGTTTTTGTAATTACAAGTTACAGAATTTTTAGCACTTATTGTATTAACCTTTTAGTTATCATTTGAAATTTTAGTTTTTCTTCCCCATATTCTTTTGAGTTTGTAAAAGAAAGTTACTAAATATGAAACATTTGAATTAGAACTTCTGATTTCTTCTATTAAGCAAGTTGCCCCCCAGTGGCATAGCGGTATGTCTGCGGACTTACAATGCTAGAAACCGGGTTTTGATACCTGTGGTGGGCACAAATAGCCCATTGTGTAGCTTTGTACTTAATTACAAACAAACATTAAGCAAATTAAGAAATGAGAGACATGTTCCAGTTTGTGATATGGTTTCTTTGACTAGAATACTCCTCATCATTATTCACCCAGTGTTTTGGTTTTGATAATTAGTAAAAATTTTCATCATTACATCAGTGACCAAAGCTTATGTACCAGGAACATACCAGATCTATTTTGTATTTAAAGAAATAAAATAATAAATATCAAAATAATGGTCATTGCTTTTGTGGTTCAATTCAATTATGAATTCCCATATACATTTATGACACCTCTTGAGGTCCTGATGATTGTTGATGTTACCTCCATTGTACATCAGATTGTTGGTTCTATTCTAATCTCAGGTCCAGGATTCCTGGCTTCCTGCCCCCGTTGTTTCACCTGAACTTGCCCATTCTTTGGATGATTTTGTCCGGCTGTACCTGTAAACTGTTTTGCTTCTGGTTCTTTCTTTCCAGATGAGGAACAGGTCACCCCACCTTTATCCTTTGTTGCTCCACTGATTTTTACTGAATCTTGTGCTTCCTTGCTGCGTGACTCTCTTCCTTTTTTTGACTATCTTCTCTTTCCCTCTACCTTGATATTTGTTGTCATGCTGATACTGTTTTGACTCAGTTTTGTACCAAACCCCAACTTCCTTATCCTTCAAGACTTCAAATCTTAATCTGTGATGTATAGTCGTGATTATTATTTTTTATTTGAACTTCAGTCTATAGGATCCCAAAAGGTGCCTCAATTCAAATGTGCATTGCATAGGACATTCCCCCAAAACTTCATTACTAAGGAGGGGTGCCACAATAAGGTCATGAAATAAGAATGAAATGGAAAAATGCAAAAGAAATCAAGGCCAAAGTGGAAAATAGGTAGGTATGATTGTTCCCAGTGAAGCTGTTGGGCTTGCAACATATAGACTTCAAAAGAAGGTGAAAGAGACAAAGAATGATAAGGAGCTTTCCAAGCTGGAAAAAAAAGATTCAAAGGGTCTAGGGGAGGAGGAAAGAACAGGTTGAGCATAAAGTCAGGAAAGACCTGTGAGAAAGCACCAGTATGACCAAAAGGTCTTTTGCAATGGAGTCCGCAGGTAAGAAAAATGTAAAAAAGCTAAGCTCGTGCTGGACAGTAGCTGAGGGATAGCTTCAGAAAAAAGCCATCTCTACGGTCTATGATGGCCAGCCCAACTAGAGGATGGGAGGCAGAAAACTGGGAGAAAATGAAGAGCAGGTGGGGGGGGGCAACTTTATGAGTCTCCCAAAGATGAGAAATCTGTCAGGACCCCTAAACCAAATAAGGCAGGAAACCAAAGTAAGCAGAATTAACTGGTGGGAGCTTGGATAATGCTTTATTTTATTTTCAGGTTATTAACACTGTATAACATGTCCTTGACCCCAATCTGAAATTTTAATTGCATCTTTTTGTTGTTCCCAAAATGTCAAAAGATTGGCAATCTTTCATAGATCTATCTTCTTTGAACCAACTTCCAAAGTTGATGTTTCTGGTGCATTTCTTCCTATTCAAATTGTCTGACCACTGTTATTTTCTCTGGTTCGTCCACAATAGTTTGAATTTTCAGTTTCAAGCTCTTCTCTTTGGGTTGGCTATAGCCCCGTATGTTTTCAGATTAGTTCTGAGGGCATTCACATGAAGATTGTATGTATTTATTGGGCCTACATTTCCCTACTATATGGACAATTGGCTTCTTGTTCTGTCCAAATCATCATTTTTGGCTGTAATCTCCTTTCAGCTTTGGTAGTTGTCTCACTTGGATTGGCTGGTCAAGCTCCTTAAGTTTGCCTTAGCTTCCAACCATTATCTGTTTCATTTAGGAATCTTTTTTTTACCTCATTTAATGACAAGCTCAGCCTTCTCTTTTACATTTTTAAGATGTGATAGCTTTACTAAAGCTAACTTGTTCCCTTCTCGTTTTTGTGTGAAAAGTTATCTTTTTTGGACTTTGACTTCCCTTAACTCCCTTATTCCTCTTGAATGCTCCCATATGCATCCTATTCAGTATACTCTGGCTGGTCAGTGGGGGTATGTCCAGGGATCCACTGTCTTCTCTTGTGTGTCTCCTTCCTGTTGTATTGGCTTAGTTGGTCCCACACAGCCCTGGACATCTCTCTTCCCCAGACATATTTCTGTTCACAGATGCCTCTTTGCCCAGACTGGAGGTGGTTTTGAAGACCTGCATCTTTTCCAGGGCCTGGTGTCCAGCAGAGAGTTCTCTGTTTATCAGTGTCTCCAAAATGTTGTTTGCCATCATCTTCAGTCTCATCTATCTGGTCATCTTGTATCATCCATTCAGACAATTTTACTGTTGTTTCTCACATCAACATGGAGGTACTCTTTCTTGAGACCTTTGTTTCCTGATTCTTTATTTTCTCCTTTGCCCCCAACACCAACACATTTGGTTGTTGGCCTGTCCCACCTTGGGAGCTTTGAGCCTGGCAAGGATCAGATGTCTCATCTAGACCAAATTGTTCCCATGGAGTGCTCTCTCCATTCCACTTTGGATTTGTTCCCTGTTTAAGAGTACTTTCATCGATGCCATTGCAATTCCCCTTGTCACCAATTTTCCACCTTCATGGTTACAATCCAGGCCTCTGAAATTCTGACTTTGGATGGTCTGAGTCAGGATTGGTCCAATCACTTTCTATAAGTTTGCCAACAACCATTCATCTCCTCCTTGGCCATTCTCCTTTTCTTTCTCTGGTCGATACAGATCTATATATAGGGCTTTTATCATTAATTATCCTGCCTGTCCAGTTTCTTTTCTGGAATGGAACTTCTGTTTAGTTGTTAGGGCCTCAACTTTTCCCCTGTACAAATCTTTGGCTACCTGATTCCTGTGCTGTTTTTCTAATGATGTATTTCATATCCTTGTCACTGTAGGAGTTGTTACTCTAACATATTTGCCTTGAACATCTCCCAGACTGTTCTTTACTTGAGCTGTTTGGGAGGGTGATTAGATGTTTTCTCCAATCATCCTCCCTTTCCTTTCCTCTCTGTTTGATCATTTTTACCTTTATTGTCCTTTTTTGTCCTATCTGGGCAGTTCATGTTGTTATTACTCCTCCTGTCTTCTTTCAAGGCAGTCAGCATCACCTTTTCTTGCAGTGGGGTTCATCTTCCTCTCATAACTTATCTCCTTCCACTTTAACAGGTTGGTTTAAACAACTCCTGTATGTAGTGTTTCCTTCTATAGATAATGAACTTTGTCTCTTTTTTTGTTAACTTCTACGAAGTTTGTCATCTTAAGGCTTTTTTTTTCATTTAGCTATTGATGTCCCTTGGACGAGATCTTACAGGCAGGATGAAAACAACCCCCGATACCTTTATGTCACATTACTTCATGTTCTATTATTGAAAAAAAAATGCTTTTTTGGGGAGGAGGGGGCTGTGACTGTGACTTGGTGGTTAGGGCTCACGACTTGCAGGTTGTGGGCTCAAATCCCTGTTATCATACATGCTCTGTCATTCAGCCATAGATGCATCAATCCCATTATTCCTTGGTAAAAGAGTAGCTCAAGAGTTGGCTGTTGGTGGTGTTGACTAGCTGCCTCCCCTCTAATCTATTGCTGCTAACTTAGGGATGGCTAGTGCACATAACCCTCATGTAGCTTTGCATGAAATTTCAAGTAAACCAAATCCCTCTGTTCAATTAGATCAGCTTAAGAATTGGTGGTGGGAGCTGATGATTAGCTGCTTTCTGTTATTTTACCAGTTCAAAAATAGGGAAAGATAGTAGAGATGACCCTTGTGTAGCTTTGTGCAAGTATCTGAAACAAACCTTACCCTAGTTTTAATCTTAGTTTCATTGTAAAAATTTTAATATATTTTATTGCCCATTTGGATTAGCCTGGATTTTAGTTGATACTATAGAGAAATACTAAAGTAGCTTTACATATTGTTAACTATCGCAATGATATGTGAATTATCCAAACTAAAATAAAGATTTAAATATATAACAGCAAATGGTGTTTTAGAACTCGTAATAAAATCCTTAAAATAGTAGGTTTCCTGCTAATGTTCAGATGCTACAAGTGTAGTAATTATTCTTGCATAATCAATTTTGAACTGAATTAAGTATACAGTATTAGACTTCTGAATTTAAGAGAGCATTACTCAGGAAATTTCACACTGTTTCTACTTTCATTTGCATGTGACATTAGTTTTTGAAAAAAATGGGACATATTGTTATAGTTGCCACTGTGATGGAAACATATTATCTAATGCTACTACATTATGTTCGCAACAAGTATAATTTTTGTTAAACCATGTAAAATATCTATGTGTTCACTGATTGGCTTTATAAGTTACTTACTATTTTGATAGATGGCTATAGAAAATATAAGTTGATTACTTGTATCATGAATTATTTTAGCCATCAAGTTACCATAGTGCCTGTACTAGTGGGATCTCTCACAACAGAGAAAGAGGCTTCTTATGGAGCTGTTTTTAGCAAGTTTATAGCTGATCCCAACAACTTATTTGTCATCTCTTCTGACTTTTGTCACTGGGGTGAGCTTTTTTTTTGCTGTCACTTATAAAACAGTTTTGAGTGGTTATTTGTGTATTTATAAGGTCCTTTGTTATTCAGTACTTTTGATTTTATTTCTATTATTATTATACATTTTCTCTGTGGTGTTTCAGATTTGCTTTCTGTAGTTTAACAATTAAGAAAAAAGATAAAAATGCAAGTTTCTTATCAAAATTTCAAGAACACTAATGCTATATCATTATTATTTTTAATTTATTTTTTTCATCTTGTTAAGGCTATACATAAAGCCAATGAAGATCCTACAATACCTTTCATGGGAGCTAGTAAACATACTGATGTCTTAAAACATCAAGAATTTAAGCATGTCACCATAAAGGGTCATCTTTAGTATTTTCCTTTTCAGTTTATAACCTAACTTTGCATAGCAGAAACTATCTAGATAAAGTAAAATTCCCAGGATACAGTTGATATCTTGGATCATTATTGAAGCTTTTATTTACACAAGAATTAATTTATACTTGTATTATGTAACGAATTTATTGTTATGTATTGATTTTTAATATGAACGTTGTTCAGATTAAATTTGTATTTAAAAATATGTGTAACTTATAGTGTCAGATATGTATTGCGTGTAACGAATTTGTTATATATTTATTTTAATGACAACGTTTGTTGGGACTGAGCTTATATGTAAAAACGTCCCTAGCTTACAGTGTTAGTTACGTATGCAAAACTCCCGCGAATTCTCCAAGGTTGTAGAATATTTGTGAATGCAAGAATCAACAATATATCCACTTCTGTAATCGGTTAAATATATTTCAGTATTGTTGAGAAAATCCTATAAAAGGCGATGCACCAAAAATGAAGAAGAGAGCATATAAGTCTGCTAGGAAACTATTATAACCGTGTACGCTATAAACTGTGATTTTGCTAACCCTTACCAACCAGAAAATATACGACATTTGACCAGGAACAGTTATAAATTTCGATTGTCAGTGAATTCTCATCAAATATTAGTATCTTTCCAAAAATATTACTGATTTCTCATTGGACACTAG